GCGCAACGGGCTGGCAACCTGCAACTGACCCGCGTAAAGAACGACGGAGAATGCGCCGTTGCAGCGCGTTTCGAATAATTCAGCAAACCTTTTGAACACAACGCATTACGTAGGGAGCCCTCAAAGGACGTACGCGCCCAGCAATGCACATGAACACGGCCCCTTGACCCGCGAGACATGCCGCGCGATACTAGCATTCGCCCAATGCGAACTCTCGAAACCAGCGTGGATTCATGTACATGCACGTCCTTCTTTCGCCCCTGATTTAGCAAGGCCAACGCGTCGCAGCAGAAAGCAGGACTGCGTTCGCCATTGGCACGCCCAATCTTCACTTGTTGCACCAACTCACCACATGGGGGGCGTCTGCATTCAGCTCTTGGCCCCGCGCCCTGCGCGCGTCTGATTCGGGCCCGGCGGCCCCGCATTCTGCGGCTATCTCGCGCAGCTCTGCCAATGGCAACCGAGGTGCGGACTGGGCGAGCATCGACTTACATGTGTTTGAACCATCCTTTTCAGAAGCGAGCATCAACTGTCTTTTGTTTTCATATTCTTCTTCTCCTTCTTCCCCCCCCTCATTTTTTCAGAATCGGCCGCCGCAGAAGCCGCAGGCCGTCGAATGGAAGCGAAGGAAGGAGCTACAGTATACCGGATTGCGCGAGGGCGCGCGGTGGCGAGCCAGCCGATCGATGCGCGAAGTGGCGGCGGCAGGAGGGACAACGAAACGGACGTGGAATAAGGGGGTGGAGGAGGATGGAGCCTCGCGAGGACCGCGGGCCCACTGGGGGGCCTCGGCGGGCGCGGTCGCGCGCGCCCTGCCCATTGCGGCGCGCCCCGTCGCGATTATCTCCCCATCGCGCCCCCGCGGGGAGCTCCGCGCGCGGTTGCGGCGGGCGGAGACGCGCAAATGTTTTCGCGCCCCTTGCGCGGAGCATGTCCTTCAGCGAGTTCCGCCCACGGGATCGCCAGGGGCCTGCGTACCTAGCTGTGACTTAACTTTGACATATGAAATAACGCATACTTGACTTATAGATGGCGTACATCTGCCAATTATGCTCGGATATCACATCGATTGCGATGACTGCAAGATAGATCGTTCACGCTTGATTATAAACCAACATATACGCTGCTCAATGGCCCCGCTCAGCTAAGCAAGGTCGAGAAGCAGCGCCGCGGCAAAACTGCCGCGCACGAGCGCCAGAGCCGGCCAGCATCGCCTGGGCAGACGCCGGCGGCGCCCCGAGCACTGGGGCAGGGCTGGGCGGCGCCCCCCACGGCAGACAGGCCGACGCTCGGGGGGGCAGACTACGCGAGGCGGTTCGAGAAGCAGCGGCGGGGGGCTCTCACGCAGCGCCTGGGCGACGGCACGCGCGAAGGGCATGGCGCCGGGCGGAGGCAATGGCAGGCGCATCGCAGTGCCCGGCAGGAATCACCACGGCTAGAAAGTCGGGGCCGAGCCGAGCGCAAGCTAGACGAGGACGCCCCAATCGGTTTCGTGATCGTCCTGGCCAGGGCCCTCGGGCGCATGGTTAGGGGCAGTGAAGCAGAAGCTCTTCGCCATCAGGCACGCGCTCCTGGTGGTGGGGCACGGCGACCCGCTGCTTCGCAGGGCCCGCCCGTGGTCGACCCTGGCAGGGCTGCAGCGGTGGCAAGGGCCCAGTGGCCGCGAGAAGCTGGTGACCCCGCGGATGACCCTCTGGCCCAGGGACTTCGTCCGCGACAGTGCGGAGCTCAAGGCCCCAGACGCGGCGGCGCTGTGGCTGGCGCTCAATATCGCCTTCTTCTTCATGCTAAGGGCCTCCGAGTACCTAGTTCAGGACCAGAGCTGGAGCGTCGCGCGCGCGCTGCATGGCGAAGACCTGGAGGGCCGGGGCGCGGGCCACAAGGGCGTGGTCTTCTTCCAGGACGCCGCAGGGGTCGTGGTCAACACCAAGGGCTCGAAGACAGACCAGTACAACGTGGGCTTCGTGGGGAACCAGTGCCGGCACGGCGCTGTGCCCGGTACTAGCCCTGGAGCTCTACGAGCGGCACTTCCCGGAGCGGCTAAGGGGCAGCGAGAAAGGCCAGCCGCCGCTCACTTGGACCAGCGGCGACCACAACAAGCGAGAGGCGGTCCAGCACTATTTGGTGGTGGCGGCCTTGGCCGCGGGGATGAAGCGCGAGGAGGCAGGGCCCCGCAGGCTGCAGACCGGCGGGGCCACATCGATGCATCACGTCGTCGGCGACCTCCATAGGGTGAAGTGGTTTGGGGGATGGGCCCCGGACGCGTTCCACTCGTACCTCTGGGAGGCCCACGAGCCCATGCGCGGCGTGGCGCAGCGCGCGGCAGAGGACACCTCAGAGCTGACCGCGCCGAGGGTAATTGAGCCCCGCGCAAGGAGACGGAAGAGATGGAGCGGGCACAGAGCCCGAGGAGGCGGCGCGCCGGCCGAGGAGCGGCCAGGCGGCGGCCGCAAGCGACGGACGGGCAGCTTAAGGCCATGGCTGCGGCCACCCTGGGGGGCCCGTCGCACCCCCGAGCGAGCAGCATGGGGAAATGGCGCTGCAGCTGTCGGAGGACGGGCTGCACTTCGTCCTGGCGGTCCCCGAAGGCCCAGCGCTCATGGTGCCGTCGGGCCTGTTGGCAGCCGCAGCGGTGGCGGGCTGGCTCGCCAGCGAGTGGTGCTGCAACGGCAAGCCGACGAAAGGAGCGAAACCCGCGGGCGGACCGCAGGAGGGATCAAGCAAAGCGAAGCAAAAGAGCTACTGCGATGTAGGGGTGCAGGGGCCCGTGCACTACAGCGTGGCGCAGAGCAGGTACGTGCACTGGTGCCAGGGTTTTCACCAGGGGGTCGACGTGACGCAGGAACCCGCGTGCCCCCAGAAGGAGCACCGGGAGTGACGGGTGCTCCAAGCGGCTGCGCGGGCCGAGGGGCCTTGAGCGGCCATCCTACACGGCGGCCGAACCGATGGTCGATCCGTGGGAGGCGGGGGTCATAGTGGGCGCTCCGCAAGGAACTCGCGAAACCCCGTTCCAACGCAGCTCTCGCCAAGGCGAAGCCGCCGGGGCGTCGGCGCGATGCAGAGCGCGGCGAGGAGCGCTGGGAAAGGGCGAGGACCCCCTCCAGTCCGGCGGGGGCGAAGCCCCGCGATCGGAAGAGCCACTGGCTGAGGAGCCGGGCGGCAGCAATGCAGCGCCAGGCGCGCGCAAGAGCGCGCGCCGGCGAGAGGCGGCCCACAGCACGCAGCAAAGGGCAGTGAGGCGCGTGGGGCGCCAGCTGCCGGTGGCAGGAGGGCTACCGCCCGGCGGGCTCCCAGAGCGCCGGCGGCAGCCAGCTGGGCGCTGGAGGCGACACCGCTGGCTGAGGAGCCGTGCGGCGGCAGAGGCAGTGCCAGGCGCGCGCGCCCGCAAGAGAGGTGGGCCAGGCGCTCCAGCAGCAACGCCGGCCAGCAGCACGCAGCGGCTGGCAGCGCGCGGGGCGCCCGCGCCAGCGGTCCCAGACCCCCGACGTCATAAGTGTTTCACGACGTCGACCCCCAGCGGTCTGGACCAAGTCCCTGGGACCAGTTTTTCGTCCGGAGCTGTTTCTTGACGGTCCCGAGGGCCGGTATAAGGGCCCCCAGAGCCCAAAAATAATGAAAACCTCCCGTCGTGATTTTTTCATGACTCGAGGGGGTCTGGGGTCGGCGGCCACAAGTGTGGGCTGCTGCCGCTCGGCGCGCATCCAAGAGCGTAGGGCGACGCAATCTATACATATCCACTGCTCCCTGGCCAGGCCCATCCTGAACACAGCAGCTGTGTATACGCCACGCCCTCCTGGTTTGGCCAGGAGGGCGCATACACAGCTCCTGGGTTCAAGATGGGCATGGTCAGGGAGCAGTGGATATGTATAGATTTCGTCGCCCGAATCCAAGAGCGCCAGCGGCGGCCGACAGGGCTCTGGAGGCGGGCAGCAGGGCAGCGGCCCATCCCGGCGCCAGCGCACGCCCGCCGGGCCATGCAGGCGCGAGGGCGCCGGCGCCGGCCGGGGGCAGAGAATATTGAAGGGGCCCCAGGACACACAAACAAATACACACAAACAAAACGATCCCCCATATGTTCCTGTATTTTCTGTTTTTTTTTTTTGCCTTCCCCACCACTTCCCAGATTTTCCCCCTATCTTCTGGGGAATCGACGACTCATTGTGTCTGTGTTTTTCCCCCTCCTGAAATATATATATATATATATATATATATATATATATATATGCGCTCGCCTGGCGCGTGAGGCGCGTTCGCCGGCGGGCGAGGGCAGGGGAGCGGCGGGGGCCTCCCCAGAATATGTGCGCCCGCCTGCAGCGCGCGAGGCGCGCGCCGGCGGGCGAGGGCACCTCCTCCTCCTCCTCCTCCTCCTCCTCCTCCTCCTCCTCCTCCTCCTAGGCAAGTCTTTCGTCTATGCTCAGCTGCTGGTGCGATGAGAGGGGATGTTGGAGCAAACATAGCTCACCACACCCCCAGAGCGGTTAGGGCTCCCGTCTCCTTGATCCTGCTGGTGCTTGCCCGCCTGTCTCCCCCTCCTCCCCTTGCCCATCGGGGGCTCAAGCCTTTCTGGGCGAAGCTGGCCCTCCATGGGGATCACACAGCGGTCCCTCCCGCCACCCCTTTTTCGGAGACCTCGCCACGGCGGCGAGGGCCTCTGAGAATGGCAGAAGCGCGGAGGACCGGCCATGCGGCCGGCAGGCCTGTGGCAAAGCAGGGGTCAGGGCATCTGAGCGCCAACTGCCACCGCCTCTCCTGTCCTCCTCCTCCTCGAGCCCTGGCTGTGGGCTCAAGACTTTTATCTATGCTGAGCTGCTGGTGTTGTTGGCCTCCTCCTCCTCATGTTCCCCGACCTCCCTGCCGCCAACAATTCGCCATCTGGCAATCTGGAAGCAATTGCAGACCTGGAGCTTAAAGGTGCCGCTTGGTCCCCTCGCGCGGTCAGCAGTAAGTAAGTACCCAGCTGGCTCCAGATGCCTTAACTAGACAAAAAGAGAAGTCCTCTCCTTGTCGAACGCCACAGGGGCACCGACGGCCTTCAGGGTGTCCCGGAAGGCCGCGATCGTCATCGTCCGCACCGAGTTGCCATTAAATTTGCGGTCGGCCTCCAACAGAGGTCCGCACGGGGGGGGGGGAGAAGAGAGGCTGGCAGATAAGGGGACGAGGACGAGAGCGAGCGAGAAGACGAGAGCATGGAGGAGAGTGTTTCTTCCTGCTCTGTCCAAACTCCAGTCCCAGAACCCCGACGTAATGTTTTTTCCATCCTGTGGTGTTGGGTCCTCGTTTTGAAGAGGCAACGCCCCGCGTCCTCATTCCTCCTCCCGCTCCTCCCTCCTCCCTCCTCCCATCCTCCCCCTCCTCCTTTCCTCCCCCACTTTGGCACACCCCTCACACGCGTCGTGGTCCCATAGGGAGCTCCACCAAAGGCCCAAATGCCAGCGCTCGCATGCGCCCACCGCACCCATTTTGGCACGTCCCTCACACGCTCTGTGGCCCCATAGGGAGCTCCACCAAAGCCATAAATGCCAGCGCTCCCATGCGCCCAACGCACCCATTGTGGCATACCCCTCACACGTTTTGTGGCATCATAGGGAGCTCCACCGAAGGCCCAGATGCCAGCGCCCGCACGCGCCCACCGCACACATTTTGGCACACCCATCACACGCTCCGTGGCCCCATAGGGAGCTCCACCGAAGCCCCACATGCCAGCGCGAGCATGCGCCCACCGCACCCGAATTCCCCTCACGCGTTTCGTGGCCCCACAGGGAGCTCCACCGAAGGCCCAGATGCCAGCGCTCGCATGCGCCCACCGCACCCAATTTGGGACACCCCTCACACGCTCTGTGGCCCTATAGGGAGCTCCACCAAAGCCATAAATGCCAGCGCTCCCATGCGCCCAACGCACCCATTGTGGCATACCCCTCACACGTTTTGTGGCATCATAGGGAGCTCCACCGAAGCCCTAAATGCCAGCGCTCACATGCGCCCACCGCGACAACGTTGGGACACCCCTCAATCGCTTCCTGGCCCCCTTGGAAAGCCCCGCCGCGGCCCAGATGGCAGCGCTCGCATGCGCCCGCCGCACCCATGTTTGGGACACCCCTCGCACGTCATGTGGCAACATGGGAAGCTCCACCGAAGGACCAGATGCCAACGCTCGCATGCGCCCACCACGCCCATGCTGGGACACCTCTCACACATTTCTTCGCCCCATAGGGAACTCCACCCAGCCCAAATGCTAGCCCTCGCATCCGCCCAACGCACCCATTTTGGCACACCATTCACACGCTTCGTGGCCCAAAAGGGAGCTCCACCGAATGCGGCGCATACAACGGCAATACCCACAATTGCAAATGGTTGGGTCTTCTGCCATGCTAATTTCATGACGTGGGCCTACAGCGGACTGGACCCATGCCTCTGGACCGGTTTTTCACCCCGAGTCGTTTTTTGACAGTCCCGAGGCCCCCAGAGGCCGAAAATAGCGAACAAATCCCTGTCACTATGTTTTCATGACGCGAGGGGGTCTGGGGTAGCATAATGGCAAAAATGCAAGAGCCGTCCCAAGAGCAGAGCCGACACTGTCCTTCTCGACCCACTCTCTGGAGCGAGCGCGAGGGCAAATAGAAGAGAGCGCGACGCGCTGTGCGAAAGCGGTGGTGCACCGGGAACCCACAAGAACTCCCGCAGGCCCGACACCGGCAGGACAAGCAGCTGGTGGGACAGAAAAGATGCCGACACCCACTGGTCGAAAGGAAGCCAGCAGAAGCATGAAGCAGGAGGGCGTTGAAATAGATTGGGCATCCGCCCGCCCGCGGAAGGGGAGGGAAAAGGGACAACCGCTCGACTCTTGAAGTAAAAAGGCGCCTAACAGAGTTTAGGATTTGGGCATCCAGATCATACCTACTTTCAACGACCGGCGTGTACTGCTGCTTCCCAGACCTCCCCTGGGGTGCGCTCTGACTAGGATTTGGCAGCGAACCCAGCCGCTGCGACGAGGGATGTACGAAGAGGCCAGAACCGGGACAAAATCAGATGGGCCTGTTTTTCCACCACCACCATCATAAGTTGGAGGGGGGAAGAAGCAGGAGGAGGCGGAGGAGGAGGAGGAGGAGGACGACGAAGAGGAGGACGAAGAGGAGGAGGAGGAGGAGGAGGAGGAGGAGGAGGAGGAGGAGGAGGAGGAGGACCCCCTTCCCCTCCAACTTATGGTGGCAGTGGCGGGAAACAGGCCCATCAAAATCGGGCTGGGGTAGATCGGGGATATCTGAAACCCAGCGGCTCTGGAGAAAACTGCGCGGGGCGGCGCGGCCACTCTCGGAGCGCTCCAGCGCGCTCTGGGAGAACTCCCCCCGGAACGCTCCGTGACGACTCGTCCTGGTTCTACCGCAGGAGCTCGACCACAAGAGACCCTCCACAAGAAGCCAAACCCTGAGACCCCAGGACGTCCATTGTGATGTTTGGTGTGGGAACGCCACGCTCTGCATGGCAAAACCATCGAAACCCAAGAGACCCAGAAATCCAGGTCACCCCGGAGGCAGGCAGGGTGTTTCTTGGCATGGGTTTCCATTCTAGCCGCGCCCGATAAGTGGTAGCGGCATCGACGTACCGGTCTTCCGCCTCCGAGCAGCGGATGGGAGACTGGGAGAGCAGAGGCCAGGAGCGACATCGGGCCTCGTCGGCGAGCCTCCCTCAAGATCTGCTCGCCTTGGAGATCTCGCCCCCCTCCTCCTCGGAGGGAATGAGGTCGGTGGCTGCTCGTAGCGCCCACTCTCTCGTGTTCGCCAAGAATCCTTGCAAAGAAGCGATTGAACGAAAGAGCTAGAGCTCGCGAATCAAGAACCTCGGCACATGAACCCAGAGTTGTACGGGATCAAGACTTGATTTGTGGTCGTGAAGAGCGCCCGGAATCAAAATCAGGAATCACGGACTCGAAGCTGGGCGGGATCGGGATCGGGACCCGGGAACCCCGAGCCCTACGGTGCCAAAGTCCTCCCAAGATCTGGAGCCCCCACGGCGCAATCAGCCCTGGACCACGAAGTCGGCGTCCCGCAAGAACCGACGTGCCTCGACCACTCCGGGAGCCCGCCGCGGCCCTTCGGATCTGGCCCTCCCCACTCATCCACTGCCCACCTCCATCGCTCCCTCCCTCTCCCTCCCACCCTGCGCTCCCCGCTTCCACGTCCCGCGTCTCCCCCCTACTCCCGCCTCCCTCCTCTCTCCTTACTCCTCCCTCCCTCCACCTCCCTCCTGTCTCCTCCTCGCTCCTCCCTCGGCAGCATCAGTATCAGCATCAGCAGCATCACCACCATCATAATCCACAGCAACACCTTCCTTAAACGTAACATTATCGTCGTCATGATCCGAAACAAGATCATCGTCACCATCATCATCATCATCATCATCATCATCATCATCATCATCATCATCATCATCATCATCATCACCATCATCACCATCAGCAGCAGCAGCAGCATCAGCATCATCATCATCATCATCATCATCATCATCATCATCATCATCATCATCTTCATAATCATCGTCATCATCATCAGCATCATCATTATCAGTATCATCATCACCATCAGCAGCAGCATCGCCATCATCAGCATCAGCATCAGCATCATCAGCGTCAGCATCATCAGCATCATCATCGTCATCCTCATCATCAGCATCATCATCGTCATCCTCATCATCAGCATCACCATCATTATCGTCATCCTCATCCTCCTCCTCCTCCTCCTCAGCATCATCATCAGCATCAGCATCCTCCTCCTCAGCATCGCCCTCATTATCATAATCCTCGTCCTCCTCAACATAATCATTATCGCCGTCATCATCGTCGTCGTCATCAGTACCATCACCATCCTCGGAAACATCGTCATGCTCATCATCCTCATCGTCTTCATCCTCTTCATCCTCAACACCACCACAACCATCAGCATCATCATCACCACCACCACCACCATCATCATCATCATCATCATCAGCGGCAGCGGCATCGTCGTCATCATCCTCATCATCACCACCCTCACCATCCTCATCATCATCGGCATCCTCATCCTCATCGTCATCACCATGATCAACATTATAATCACAATCACCACCACCACCATCACAATTATCAACATCATCATCATCACCACCACCACCATCACCATACCCACCACCACCAACACCGTCGCCATTCTCATCCCTCCCTCCCTCCGAGCTCCAGGCGCCAGACAGGCCCCCCGGGCCGTGAGCGAGGCCCGAAGGCCCGCGACAGCCGCTGCAGCCGCCGCCGCCGCCGCCGCCGACGACGACGACGACGACGACGACGACGACGACGACGACGACGACCGGGGGGCGGCCTTCGAGCCGAGGCGCCGCTCCACAGCCACCCTGAGGTCCCAGAGCGCTGCGCAGCTGTTAACCTGGGAGGGGAAGGAGGAGGGAGAGAGAAGAAGGGAGGGGGGAGGACAAGCTAGGTGCGGTCGCGTCATATCTGACGTCCTTCCCCTCCCTCACATCCCTTCCCATAGCGTAGATCTCCTCTCTATTCGCACAATCGGATATCGCAACATGGCATAGCACTACATGTCACAGTATGGTGTTGAAGATCAACGCGTAGCATGATGTAGCATGGCGTGGCAACGCCACCAAATGCGGGGAGGCTCCTGCGCCCAAAAATCAACGAACCAACACCGAATGTGTAATCACTTCCGATGTTTTTTTTCGGGAGGCCATTCATTTTGTAGACTTTGGAGCCTATTTGGAAGGACCGAAACTATTGCAATGGCATGGTACTGGAAATAATGACACCAAGGCTGCAGTGGGAGCACGACTCGGGACGAGCGGAAGCGCGGAAATGAGGCCAGCGCTGCAGCAGGAGCACGCTTCGGAATGAGCGGTAGCCCGAGAAAAAGGCCAGCTCTTCGAGAGCAGCATTCTGAAAAGAAAACCCAAACGAAAACCCAATTCCCGGGAATCCTTTGTGAAACAAGCCGGTACGCGGAGGGGGACCTAATATTTCCCAGACGCCACCAGGGGAGAGAGGAGAGTAGTATTAATATTGTGTAACTGTGAAGGGGAAGAGTGGGGAAGAAGGTCGGGAAATGACCTCCGTTCACGCCTGGCCCCCTCTGACCAGCCGTCCGAAAGCTGGACGGGTGGCGGGGCGGCGGAGGGGAACCTTTTGGACTGCAGCGACCTTGCGCCAACGGCATGCGTCATATTGGGCCAAGATGCCCACAGGCGTCCGCCAAACAGTAACAGAGCTGAGGAGGGAGGGGATGAGAGGAGGAGAGGAGGGGGGGAGGACCAGAGGGAGGGAGGAGGGAGGGATGAGAGGAGGGAGGGACAAGCCAGGTGCGCAAGCGTGTTATCTGACGTCTTACCCCTCTCTCCCACCCCTTACCATTGCATAGATGTCCTCTCTATTCGCGCAGTCGGATGTCGAGGAGGGCGCAATCATCCCGAGAGGGTACGAGATGCATGGTAGCGCACGGCGCAGCACGGCGTAGAAGAGCACGGCAGAGCGTAACAAGGCATAGCATGGCAGCGTGGCGTGGCATTGCGTAGTTACGCATTGCAACGCAAAGCGTGGCATCGCAGAGGGGCGCGTAAAATGGGAGGCACCGCTGTGGTGGGAACACGATGTGGAAGATCCGCAACAAATGAATGAGGTCAGCGCTGCAGCGGGAGTGTGATTTGGAAAGTCCGAAAGCCAGAAAATGGAAGAATCGCTGCAGCGGAAACGCCATTCTGTAAAGGCCTAACACGTTCGGGTGGAACAAACACAACGGACCGACAATCTTTTATGATTTGGAAAGACCGAAAACCAGAACATGGAACCAACGCTGCAGCGGGAACGCCATGCCGGAAACACCGAACAAGTTCGGAATGGGATACAGATATGATCGACCACCGTGTGCGCTTTGGAAAGACGGACAGCCAGAAAATGGAGCCAACGCTGTGCCGGGCACGCCTCTCTGGAAACACCGGGAAGGCTCGGGCTGGAAAACCAAATTTTATCGCCCACCGCTTGGAGATCCAATGTGCAAAAAAAACACGCGGAAAGGGGGCAGGCCACGACCTCAGGGTCGTCGGGGGAGACAGGAAATCAGTGCTCACAGCGTGTATGCAAGTGTGGAGGGAGGGGGCCTCTTCCTGGGATGGGGGAGGAGGAAAAAGAGGAGGAAGAGGAGAAGGAGGAGGAGGGGTTTGGATTGGATTGGCTCCTTCCCGAAGGGATCAAGATGAAGAGAGGCACGGATGGCCCCTCCCAGCCGCTTATGACCTAAGCGGCTTGCCTGTGACAAAATTACCCAGATATCTCCGAGTTGTGGCCGTGAGGCTCTTGGGGCACTCTGAGCTCAAGTTCCTTCTGAGCTGTTCGGCCCCATAAAAACCACAATCAGAACAAATCCACGTACGGAGCAGGAGGGAGTAAAGAGGCGAATGGGGGGGTGGATCCAACCGCCCCAAAGATGAACCTTAAACCCCCTCGGCAGACGAGACACATGCAAGCTAACGTGCACAAAATCGAAACATTCGGACTGCAACCATTCCGTCTTAGTGTCTAGAGAGGCGTTCCCTCTGCACCTCTCACACTTCTTCCCACAATCACTGAGGCGATGGGAAGACCCGAAGAGGGCGACGGTGGCAGGAACAGGAGGGGAAGGACGGACAGACGGAGCAGAAGCCTGAGAAGGTCGAGCCGCCATGGCCTCCAGAGTCGAACGGAGAACTCGCCTGCGAACCAAAGACGCCTCCATCTTGACTTGTTGCACTCTTTTGCGCACCTGCTCGTCGATGCGATTCGTATCAGCTGCCACCCCAGCAAAATGATCTGCTGCGGTGTTCCCATACACAAGGAAATCTGGATATCCACAGGACTGGAGAGCTTCGGCATCGATGCGAGAAGGAACCTGCACAACGACAACATGCGAAACGTTTCGCTGTTGCTCTCGAAGGGTGTCACCGATGAGTTTCCAGGTGAGCGAATTGGAGCCCTGGGGTTCCCTCCAACTACATTTGTACCATCCGCCCGCCACCGCACTATTATCCGCAACATAGGTAAGAGGCCCATCGGTATATTTCAAAGCAAGATAGAGGCCCCACAACTCTCCTCGAGGAACAGTTTGGGGAGCCCCAGGCAGCGCACCAAAGACGGCGCCGTGCACAACTGGAGGGTCGAAGCTGGCCAGCGAACACACGCCGACACCGCAGCGCCGAAGTCGAGGATCCCTGGACTCCTTTCCTCCACTAGCATCCCCAAATACAAAGACAGGCTGCTCGAATGTGCCCTGGCCGAGCACGTAGGTGCCGTGGCTGTTGTCCCTGGCAAAAACCTGCCAGGACTCACCTTCAAAAGGGCCGGGCACCTTTGTCCACAAACTAAGGATGAGGCCCCTGAACCAGAAACACGGCTCGGCATCTCGGCCCGTCTGGGCCCGAGGAACCAAGAACTGGCTGTCGTCATAAACCTTGTGCCCACAGTTTTTAGAACAAACCCAGTGTCGGTGCATCGATGTTTCGGGTCCCTCGCCGCACCTGGGGATTAGGTCGTCGACGATGGCCCCTGTCTCCTCTCGAACTCTAGATAGCGGCCACGTGCCGCCTACTGCAATAGTAACCAAAGTCTCGGCAAGCCTGGACCCGTTGGGGACACGCTGCAGAAAACGAGCCGTGTCCCTGAGGGAGCCGTTGTCGGCCCCATACTGGAGCCCCTCCCCACAAACATGGGAGGTCGCCGAGGCCCAGAGTTTCGCCCGAATCGACCCCTCGAAGTCGGCAAGCAAACCTTCGATGTTTTCCGAGGCGGTAACCTGATCATCTGGAAAAATCCAAACAGGCCCAGGCTCGTCACTACTCGATGGTAGGCCCCGCTCGGTGGGCGAGACGGGATTCCACCCGAACTCCAGCAGATACCCTATGATCATGGAGATTGGCCCTCGCACGTGCCGGGCGACTTGGCTTGGAGCCAGAGCGCGAAGCTGGCGCACGAGGCATGGCCAAACAGCTCGAACTGGCGCTCGTATGCTCGGCTCTTCTAGCCACGTGCGGAGCCACGTACGCATGCCTTCTCGAGGCAATCGATATCCTGGATCGTGCCCGTCGGCGCGAAGATCCAGTAAAGTAGTTAAACATCGGCCCGGCTTGGCCGAATAGCGAGTGTGCCCGAGACGGCGCCGACACTGCTGGCGGAAGGTACCAAAAAGCCCCAGTGATTTGATGCCCATAAGTACCAGCGGCCTGGGACCCAGCTCTCTCGATCAAACCCATACTAACATACTTCCTCGAAGCCTTAGCGAAACCTTTGATCCTCCGACTCATCGCCTTAGCTTTGGCAGCACGTTTCGTCCGAGTGACTCTGGCCATCCTCCCCGCGCCCATGTCGACGCCAAGGAAATGGGTCTGCAGGGCATGCCGAACGAAAAACCCTTTCCTGCGAAGCTGACGGACGACGAACTCGGCGTCGGAAGGGCGCGAAGTAAGTACAACACTCTTGGTGGCGACGGGGAGCCCATGCTCCTGTAGAGTCTGGCACGTGTCTAGTATCCCACGATACAGACGACTCCGCACGTGGGCTCTGGTGCCAGCGGTATGCTCCGTTAAATCGCCCACCCAAATACGCATGGACATGTGCGGATGCGAGGTAGTGAGACCCTGCAAAATGAAATGCACCAGGCAGCGCCCGAAGCGTGCCCCGCTCCTGAGGCCCTGGACGATGCTCTGAGACGGTTGGAACCCCATTGAGCTAGACCCCATCTGAGATAAGATCAAAAGTGCCAGACACATCAACAACTCCAGTCCCAAGACCACCCGTGGGAAGCCGAACTTGAGGGCCGTGCGAACCAAAGGCCCCGCTGCATAGCATCGTAAAATCCCTTGATATCCAAGAAACCAGCTCCAAAAGATATCCCCATACGTGACATACCTTCATCACGCAGAGCCCGACGAAAAGCCTCGCGGAGCGCGGAGTTCCCCGCGACGGCCGCGCCCCAGCCGGGCTGGGCGTCGCGAGTCCATGATCGCGTGACATCCTCTCGGGCTAAAGACCAGGTCCTTGAGATCACTGACATGAGAGCTGTAACCCTATCCCCCCATCCTTTTCCCCAGAAGCCCCCCGAGAACCACCGGGATCTGCCCAGGCCACGCGATGCACTGTTCACAAGCCTGGAGAATATTGGTGAACTCCTGGAGCCCTTGGGGGGGGGAGACGCTCCATATCTAAAGGTGTGAGTTCGTCTACCCCGCGCCCTGCTCTGGCCTTCACGGCGCGCAGCGCGTGCGCCGCGCGAGCAGGTTGTAGCGGTTCAAATTGCACCGCAACTGCCGCAACTCGAATCTCTGCGTGCAAGTCGGCCACCTCTGAAACCTGAGCCTGACTGGGGCCCCAAAGAGCCTGCCAATGCAGGGCCTTCTGGTC